GATATTATCTTAATTTTGCAATATACTGCATTTGCTGGTGCTATTTTTGTACAGTGAGCAACAGCTTTGCAGCAAAATAATAAAATACTCAACTTCTTCATTAATCATGTTGTTTTGATGTTAATATTTCATTTAGTGACTATGCTAGTATTTGTGAAAATGCTTAGCTTATGGAAAGTTATTTTTTAAAAGGAAATTTAAGCCATAACAATGAAAGTTCCAAGAATATGTTTCCTTTCAGCCAGAAACCTGATTTTTCTTAAGCAATGACCTAATTGCCTGATGGCATTAAGCACTTTTTGGTCATCTTTAATATAATCAAAAATATGTCACTGATTTTGTTTTCCTGTCATGCTAGGTTAGAAGAGAGAAGAGAAAAAACAAGGAAAGGTGAAAGTTTTGATCAGCATAGCGCACAGTATTCTCGAAGTTAAACCACAGTCAGACTGCTACTTAAGTAATGGGAGAAGTGGACACAGTGAGGCTTTATGAGCTCAGATACTGGCTTGGTGAATATTCTTGGAATATACTTAAGCATATTTAGAGTGCCAAAAGGTATCTTCAAGTAACTAACATAGCAGACTCTCTAATTTAACCAACTGTAATATGCTGATGTTTTGGGGGTCGGGTTATATATGTACACGTGCAAATATATACATACACACAAAGCAAGAGGAGACAAATTCCTCTATCATTTTCCTATATGAAAAGGAGTATTCAGATACTACCACCTTCTGGTGGTGACTAAATAGCAAATATGAGAACTTAGAGGAAGTAGATAAATAACATTAAAATCTTTACTGTTCCTCAGCAGAAGAAACCACTCTTTCCAGGACTCTGCTGAAATATATCTGCTTTGGAAATAGACAGGGAGGAGTAATTATTACATAGATTTAAAGATTTAACCTTTTGTTTTCAAGGTGCTCTCATATATTACCGTCTTTAATCTTCACAACAGCCAGAGTTAGGCAGGACATACCCTTTACTACGACCCTTTCACAGATAAGGTGATGGTGAGAGGATAAGAAATTTGCTAAAAAGTTGGGAACGTGGTATGGATTTTTACATTTCCTGGTCTCCTCTTTATCAGTCCCTTAGCAAGTGTTACCATAAAAATACTTAAATGGGCCAGGCATGGTGGTGCTTGCCTGTGATCCCAGCTACTCAGGAGGCTGAAGTGGGAGGTTTGCTTGAGCCCAGGAATTTGAATCCAGCCTTGGGCAACATAGCAAAACCTCATTTCTTTAAAAAAAATTTTTTTAAGTACATAAATGGTAATCTTGGCAGGGTGGGGGGGATGAATGTTCTAAAGGTGGGAAGCAGAAATGGCCTAGAAATTCTAGAGTGAAAGTACATCAGTGATTATAGTCTCTAGAAAAGATGGGCAGTTTATTTTCCCTTCCTTTACTTGCTCTGTAACAACCACTCTGAGCATAACATATGGCAACTTGATCTTTCACTTTAGAATATAGATGGCGCCAAGTTCACTGCCATTTCTGTCATCGTGCTGCCAAAAAGGCTTTGAATGGCCCTCCAAATTGACTGAATCAATAGCATTTGATTTCTTCGACCTCATATTCCTTTTGAATGGTTTTGGCCTTAAGAGAATAGCTTAATAAAGTTTTTGAAGAATGCTAGTAACTAAAACTTCAGAAATGGAATAGGTTATCCTTTTTTCTTATGTCACCTCACAGGTAGTTTGAAGTATTTAACAGTTGATGGCTTTAGGTTCTTAATAAAGAAACCACTAGAGGGCTCTCTGCAGAGGCATGCTAGTGTGAAAATGAGGCTAGTGTTTCAGATCAATTCCTCAGCAAATCAGAATTTCTGAATTTTTCCGCATTTCTGCAGTTTTTCTGAGGCTACAAGAAAGAGGACAGCTCACTTAAGTTTTGAAAATTATGCTAACTATAAATATGCCCTTTTTACTGTATTCTTTCAGACCGAATCACACACTTGCTTTCCATCCTGAGGTCCCACCCTTTACACTGATTAAATTCCTCTTTCTTCCCTGCAACAGGGCTTCACTACTGACCAACTACCCTTGTTAGTCCTTCCTTTCTGTTATTTTTTCTTTAAATAGATTTTATTTTTTTAGAGCAGCTTTAGGTTCACAGCAAAATTGAGCAGGAGGTACAGTTCCATATATTTTCTGCCCCCATCTTTCTCTGTTCTTGAAACATCCCTTTTGCTATTTGGGATCTTATTCCACTAGTTTCTGGTACCTTGATTCAATCTCTGTTGGCTTTTTATAAGCTTGACTAGCCAAACACTTGTCCCTTAACGTTTCTACTCAATCATGCTGTCAGGCTTTTTACTTGCTAAATATCAAAAGTGATCCCCAGGCCGGGCGCGGTGGCTCACGCCTGTAATCCTAGCTCTCTGGGAGGCTGAGACGGGCGGATCGTTTGAGCTCAGGAGTTCGAGACCAGCCTGAGCAAGAGCGAGACTCCGTCTCTACTAAAAATAGAAAGAAATTGGCCAAACAACTAAAAATAGAAAAAATTAGCCGGGCATGGTGGCGCGTGTCTATAGTCCCAGCTACCTGGGAGGCTGAGGCAGGAGGATCGCTTGAGCCCAGGAGTTTGAGGTTGCTGTG